GAAAAATCAATTATAATTCACGAAATATTTTATCAGTTACTCAAAAATTTTATACCAATAAATAGATATAATTTTTAATTAATTATAATTGTTAACAGTTACTGTCGGTGTTTATTTTTGTTTTACTTTCCGAGATGTCATTCAGGACGAAAGAAAGATAAAAAAAAAAGAATAACTCCTCAATAATGACAGTTATTAAATTTTATTTTTAGTCTCAAACTTGCACTTTATGAATCCTTATTGTCAGTTATTGTTACTCTTATCGTGAGTTAGTCACGACAATGATTTTTACTTGTGTAGATACATACATACACAAATAAAAACACGACTCCTGCAGACGTTGATGATACGCGCATTCCAGAGCCAAAAGACGACATGCAATGATGTTGGATACGGATGAAAGAAAAAGAAGAGAAAACACCATATGCACTGCACTGCGAGCAAGGTGTATCGCAAGATCCTCGTCCGTGTGTACTACGGTTAACTTAACCTCTTCAAGGGCATCTTGGCTCCTTAGCCTCACGACTCTCAACAATAACTTAGCGAACAAAATTGCCCCCAAAAAGTAATTACAAGCAATATCATTGATCAAAAGATTTTTGCGATGGTAATTAATAAGAGAAGGCTGGTGTGCTATTATCGGAGTACGCTACTCGAAAGCCCCATCGTTGTTGTCATCGCCATCACCATTATTTATACTTTTTTTTCGTTTAAATACCACCAGCAAAAATATTTGTATTTTAAAGTGGATCAAGCGGCGACCGATGACATACACACTTCTGTCATTTGCGAAATTGCACTGAATGCACTGAACTTACATTTTCGTATTTAAAGATCACATATACAGACTACACTATTCGCCCACTCACTACAATACACTGCTCACTCTTTCCATGAGTCTACGTTAGAATCGATCTCTCTTGAAGAGATATCTTCAGGCTTGCACCTGTACTTTAGCTAGGCCTATAATTATAATAATCTAATAACACTTGATGCAGGAATGCAGATGTACAGCCACATAGTTGCACTTTTGAATACTGTCGTAGTGATGTACCCTATGGCGTATTGAGTGTGTAATGTATGCTCAGTGAGTGCTCAGTGCTCACAATGCTCACTCAACAGTCTCAACACCAAAGACGTTGTATGGTATAGACTGGACCCAGCAATGTGACATGGGGACTACTAAATTACACACTCAGTAAACTGAGAGAGAAACACAAATAGTACTAAAAAAGATCTGTCTCTTTTTAATGCAACAACGTCTCTGTGCTGACCTGAGTCTGCTCAATCACTCATGTTTCTCTTTCTCATATATATATGCCATAACATTCATAGTATACATGTTCATACCAAAACCAGACACCATGCTGTACTTTCTGTCTGCTAGGGTTCACGGTCATCGTCGTCATTGTCAAATAGTCATTGTATGAATTACATTATAATTCTGAGCGTCGTTTAGTATACGTATAATTTACAAATACTTGTTTTGATACCGTTTAGCCTGTGCTAAAGATTTTATCCAACACGAACAAGATTACGACGTGTACATCTGTTTGACACTTGCGTACCTGCGATGATAGCTGAAAGTGTACTGACTGACTATAGCGAGCACTGCCGAGGTGCCGAGCAGTCGCCAAAAGTCGTGATGTATTGGAGATTGGAGTAGTCAATTTAGGTAATGGAGCGAAAATACTACATATACATGTATACACATGTTAAATATCTTACACACACGCATACATGTTTCTTGCCCGTCGGTCTACTAACCGTACGCAAACAAGGTAGGTATCTTTAATTTTCTGTATACTTTTAATCACACTTTTGTCCTGTATTACCATCATTAAGTAATATAAATCTCTACTCTTAATAGCCTCTAGTATCTCTAGCAAAGCTCTCTGTAGTGGCTCCAGACATCCGGGAAATTTAAAAATGTACTTCAACCCAAGCCCTTGATCCCCATAACCCTACAATCCCAAAGCCTTTAACCCCATAACCTTATAATACCAAAGCCTTTAACCCTATTACATCATAAATTTCAAATCATTAAACCCTATAACCCTATCATACCAGAGCCTTTAACCCCATTACCACATAAATCTTGAAGAATTTAACCCCATAACCCGGTAACCACGGACTGTTTCATTATATAACATAAGGAAAATGCATGTATCACTGACCATGGCGTTTATAAACTGCGTGGTTACCGGGTTATGGGGTTAAGGTCTTAGATATTTCCAGGGTAATGAAGTTCAAGGCTCTGGAAGTATGGGGTTGTTGGGGTTAAAGACTCTGAGATAATAGGGTTATGGGGTTAAAGTATATTTTTCAACTTTTATAAGGGAGTGTGGCTACGGACGCCATTTTCAGGACCCCATAGGTGAGAAACTGAAAAGTGGTGTGGAGGAAAACACAGATTCACACGCATACATGTACACATTTCTGCTCAGCTTATTATTTTCCCAGTTAGTTCCGAAAATGGTGGAGCCAGTCAGTGACTTTCATGACACTTAAGGGGGCTCCTACGACTACTGCTGAGGTCTAAGACAAACAAAAAATAAAGTTTTGTTTTTCAATAAACAAATGTGTCTGAAAATCATTATGATATTTTTAATAACATATGAAGTGGGAAAAATGATATTTATGTCCATAGTTTAACTTTGTACGAAAAATTAATTATTGTTTTGACCAGTCTAGTGCATACAAGGGTACACCACCAGACCAGACCACCTGTGTTGGTGTAGTATAGCGATGTAATATATAGGTATATGGTATACATTTGTCGTGAACAAGTACGTCTGCTTTTGTCTGCTACTGACCTCCCGGACACTATTTATTTATTTCCATCACAAATATCTCGCTAAAATACTCCTTTATCCACAATTTTTAATACAGCATATTACAGAGGAAGACTTCATCTACAAAACGTATATATTCAGTCTACTGGGACATTTAATTTAGGTTTATTATAAACGAAAACAAATTGTTTTTCACGCTGCCCCATAGGAACACGTGCTAATAGTTACAACTTTGAGCTCGGATTTCTCAAAATTTTGACCCATTCGAAATATAATTTAGACCGCTATTAAATTCAGTAGACTTTTATTTACAAGAAATAATATATCTCTGTTTGGGGACTTTCGTGAAGGAGCCCCCTTAAGCCACACTCCCTTCACCCACTCTAGCTCAAACGTGGCTCGAGACCCTCGGGAAATTCAAAAATTCTCCTTAATCTAATGACCTTGAAGAGTCTTTAAATGCATAACCCCTAATAATGTAACCACATAACCCAAAAAATCTCGACGAATTAAGCTCTATAACCTGATAGCCATGTAGTCTTTAATCTTGTATCATATAGGGAATGCATGCATGACTACCCATTGTGGTTCATATTTCATGGTTATCAGGTTATTGGAATTTATTAAGTTATGTGGTAAAGACTCTGATTCGACAAATCGGCGGGCCGACAAGAGAGACACTCTCGCTCTTGTCTGCTTTTCGTCGGGACGTGTGATCCGAGGGCTTTTTACGTTGTACGTTTCCACGGGCGTATGTGCGAGATAATACTATTGTACTGCACCGAGCGACAACAAGAGACGCAGCAACGGCTACCTGTTGACGACCCGGGCTGCTGCGACAACCTACACGCACACACTACTAAGGACTGTTGGGTCCAAGTGCCGACTCCTGCCCGTCGGATCTCCCGGTGCCCGAAACTAGTGCTGCTGAAAATATCCCTGCAGTAGTGAAAACGGTAGGCCTATTTCCTTTATATCCCGTCCCTACCGCGTGAAAGCATTGTGCCTGCACCCGCAGGGCTAAGGCTGCATGAAGTCAGGCCAGGTTGGATAGTTAGGCAGGGTAATCTTTATATAGAATTAATGTATTAAGTTCTGAGTAAATGCTAAATGCAAATAAATGCTTGAATATCGATCTCGCTCATTTGTGCATGTTTGATTGCCAGCTATCCATCCTATCCGTTTATCCCTATAGTGAATATAATAAAGTAGAATTTTAGTTGCTGCTGAATGGAAGTCTTGCTGCTGACTGCAAGGCGAGCAAGGCGCGACACATCACAAGTTATATGTTTAAAAACTTTGGAATCACTAGATTATTGGGTTAAAGTATTAATACCAGGACAAACTCTTCTTCACACCTCCCCATTCACGTTGTAAATACGGGAGAAAAACAGTTAACTGATCAGAGAAATCAGCAGCAAAAATAAATGGCGAGACTTAAACGTTCACCCATCTAGGTATTGATCGCTAGAAATACTGCTTAACTTTACTGATTAATGAAGCTACAACCCTACCGCTATTCCCCATAAGATGACATTTCCTACCAGCTAGTGGTTTCAGATGTGATTCTTACATTAGCACAAAATTAAAAACCTAAAGTATCGAAACTTAATAACTATAATCTCCACTCTTGAACGTTATGATAATGTAACCCTGGAAAGTTTTATGCAATAATCCTGTAACCCCCAGATCCCTGAACTTCGTAACCCTAGAGCCTTCAACCATATAACCTGAAGAACAGCAACGAGTATGAAATTAATCATATTTATTACGTAAATTTATTTATATTTTCAAATAGTCAAATGGTGAAAGACTAATGTTATAGGGTTACAAGGTTGAAATCTTTGTAGTTACAGGGTTACGGCGTTAAAAAATCTGTGGGGATATAGAATTGTTGAATTAAAGGCTCTATAATTACAAGGCTTAGGTTATACAGGGCCATTAGGTTTTAATAGCTTAGGATTGGAATTGAGTGCTAATGTGAGAGCCATTTCCGAGACGGCCATTATAAAATTTGTAAGAAAGATACCAATTTAAAAATGCTTTAAAAAAGGTACCAATTCGAAAATGCTTTAAGAAAAGTGCCAATTTTGAAAGGTACGAATAAGGTACCAATTTGGAAATGTTTTAAGAAAGATCCCAATTTTGAAAGGTACGAATAAGGTACCAATTTGGAAATGTTTTAAGAAAGATCCCAATTTTGAAAAACACAAAACAATGTATCAATTCGGAAATGCTGTAAGAAAAGTACCAATCGGAAAAAGCGCCACCAATCCTTTTGAGCATGCATCTTTGTGATTAAATAAATTTTTTAATAACAGCATGTATATTATGAATTTTTTTTCCAAATCACTCATAATATCCACGCAATACAATATTAAGTCTTGATCCTCAACATGAGCTTCATAAAGATTGTGTGAATCAACATTCTCGCTGCAAGTTTTCCGACAATGAACGTTATGTTGCCATTATTTTATCACAAAGTTGCATAACCACATGATAGATAGCTTGCTTGCCTACAGATCTTGATGGCCGGGGATCACATCCCACTCTAGACAAAAATTTTCATTAAAAAATAAGATTTTTTCTGGAAGAGGTTTGAGCTTCAATAATCCTACCAATTTATACCCCACCGTTTCACCTACCGATTTTTAATTAACGTATGGCTAAATACGCTACATGGTGTCAAAGTAGCTGTGTCTGAGCTCCTTAGGGGGCGATGATGAATATATATAAAAAAAAAAAAAAAAAAAAAAACAAAGATGCATGCTCAGCTGAATCGATACCTCTCTTAGATCTCGACGGATAGTACCTTCGTTAGATCATTTCTGAATTGATACATTTCTTAGCCGTTTTCGCAAATTGGTACCTCATTCCTCCCATACAAGATGCCGTAATATTTCACGTTCACTATTTGAACACAACGCTTAACTTTTTGCACGTCTTGAATGTACATTTATCTAGATAAAAAAGTGATTTTCCTCGTTCACTAATGTAGTAACATGGAATAACAGCTGTTTACAATGAATTTTGTAAAAGTCACATCTTTTTGGAGTCTAGGTTTCTTCAGAACTTATCAATAAATGCTTATAGATTGTTAGAATATCGTGTTATAGACATAGATACATTATTATTGTTATTATTATTATTATTATTATAATTGGTCATTGACTGGGTATGTATGTAGACTTTACAGCTTATTAATTTTTTATACTTATGTGACGATCGAGTGTATTACAAGCTGTATAATATTACTGATATACATATATGTAAACGAAATGTGCGATCTAGTAGACTGAAATCCACCACAAATTCGATCCACAATGACTAAATAATAGCCCAGCCCCTATTTGACACATTTCAGATTTTTCAGCAACACAATATAGAGCAGTTTAGTTGATGCATCATCATAATTATTCCATCTGCATTAAATTTTGCTCATTTTTGCAAATAATAAAAGTTACGAACCTACTAAAAAAAAAGAATATGTTTTTAGTTGTCGCTGAGTTGAGACAGCACGCTCTACCGATGAGTTCAGCTAGTTATTAAGAAGCTCCATCCTTCTCTTTTCATTTCCTTTTTTTTTTTTTTTACTATACGCTCCGTGTACTCATGATTGAGGCTGCTATAAATACAATACTCAAAGAAAGAAAGTTAAACTCGCTTGGTATGGAGTAGCGCATGTTGTTCATGCGTATGATTGGATATCATATTCACTCTATAAGATCAAGAAACTTAACAGCATAATTAAAGTTTGTGTAAAAAGGTCGTGATTGATGTTTGAATGACGCATAAATAATAAAGGACTGTGGTTTTCTTCCATTCGATAGCTAAATAAAATTTTTCTATCTTCGAGCTTCGACAGCGCAAAAATCTTTGTGAGAAAGGGAGGCAATCGAATTTTTTCGCGACAAGGGGTGGTAGTCTGGCGCTTGCGTACCGTTCATCCCTCGCTCTTTTCTGAACTTTTTTTACTCACTCTTGTCTCCCACTTCGTGCGTACGTGCGAATTAGGTTTTTTTTCATACTCCAGATACGAGTTGTAGAAAATATCTTACGCTGAGCTATGGGGAGGCTAATACATCGAGATTTTCTGGTGGTATATATGGCTGTCTGTTGATCTGTGATAAAGGTTTACGAATTAAATGTTACTTCCAATCTTAAATAAGAGTCTGGACCGTAACTTTTATGAATCACGATACTTTTCAAAACTTCTTTCTTATCTTATTACATGATTGTAATAATAACTAGTAAATCTGTTTGAGACTGATTTGAACCAAAAAACACTTCATTCTTTGGATATAAGAATTTAGAGCGCCTGGCTGATAATGCCCATACAATAAGAACAATTTAAAATATAATCCATTGATTAACCAAAGGACAACCTTTCTTTTCATACATTACAACGCATTTCTGTGAGGAAAGGTATATAAATTGTAATTTTCATATCGAATTTGTTCTTGCCATTATAATTAGAAAATAAATACACTACGAAGAATCTTTTGTCCCAAAAGTGGTCCCTCCTTATGTCAAATTTTTTGTCGATTCGATAGGCAATGTTGTAAAGACCACAATAGTCCAAAGGAGTTTTAGCTCGCAGTTGGATAAGAAGCTACTTTGAGGTATGACTGCTCAAGTGGGGTGTGGGGGTAGGTTTGGCTTCTGGTCGAAACTTGAGAATAGTGACATGCGACGAGGGTAAAAAAAGAATCAGGAACTAAAAAGAGAAAACAACAGGAATAATGTAACGTACATGCTTATATGAATATGTAAGACTTTTTTAAAAGAATGCAGAAAAATGAACGAAACGTTAAACTAACGTGCGGAACGTGTAACGCTGGTTAAAATGAATCCATCAATAAAAACTCAAATGATCAGTCTGCTGAGCAGATAGCAGCCTGTAAAAGCCTTTCAAAGCGAACGAAAGCGCCTGGAAAAATTATCATGTTCATTTTTTGGGATGTGTATATTATAGCATAATATTTATCGGCTATCATAAAAAGAAAGAAAGGAATATAGTACAGCAGTGTTAGCACAGGTAAAGAGAACGGAATCGCTAAAAAATGGCCCCAAGTAAATTATAAGTGTCATTTAATAGATGAATCGTGTGAATTGCTCTTCTAATTTTTTCTCTATCCGACATATTTTTCAGATTTGGATTTATTATTACCTCCTCGTTAATCTAAAAAAAATTCTTACTGAAAAGAAATATGCCGTTTAATTAGGAATCGATTCATATTTTGGAGGATTAGACATGTCGTTTTACAAAAAAATACACTCCTAAGTTGAATTTTTTTTGAAAATTGTTTGTTCTTCACCCTTGGAAATTATTGAGCAATGTGTTACTTTACTGTCGATTTGCAACAAAATCTGAGAAAATGTTAATTCTAAATGTAAAGAGGGAGAAAACAGAGGCACCGAGTCCCAAGACAATAACTTAAAATAGCCTAAATGATGTCATTCCAGCAGTCCGATAACTTAAACGAACGGCATTTTTTGTAGCTGCCGGCAAGTATACCAACGATGAAAATCATCGACATCACTATCCTGATGAAAAAAAGTCAAGTGCCTATAACAATGACAAATATCAACGCCCTTAAATATGATCTCTTGTACGTTTTACCATGTACTTACACACCCCAAGTTGAACTGAACACGAGCGTCCGATTAAAATCGCACTCGTACTACTGATTGACAATAAACATAATTCAACACAAAACAGTTTTGGCCCTGCAGTTGCACAAAGCAGCTTTTTATATAATGTAATCTCATGCCACCATCCCTGGTTTCATCGAATAGCACCAAAGACCTCGAGAAAGAAAACTCCGCTCGGGATTTGGCTGTCGAGGACGAAACCCACCACCCCCATCCGACTCGATCGCGCACAAAATAGGACCGTTTCACCGCTCTTCCTTTGCAACAGCCCGTCCTGATTTTTACATCTCGGCGTCTCCCTTCGACCCTATGCACACACAGCTTCACCGTACTCGCACATGGTTATACATGCATAGAGGCAAGTAAAACAAATGATCGGCGAATCTTACGAGGAGCCAAGGGGACGGAGAAAGAGAGCAATCGTTCATATACGCATTGTGTTCTCTCGCACGCATATAAGTTCATACACGTGTATACAGAGAGAAACATGAAAGAGAAGGACAAGGGTGCAGGTATACGGGATGACGGAGGGCTGTGCAAAATAAAAAGAAATAAAAATCGTCGTCGGCAGTGCGAGTGTCGCGCGTGTGCGTATGTGTATACAGTCTAGAAGTAGGGAGCTCTTGGAAATCCAGTCGGCGAGCGCGCGCGATCGATGCGATAAATGGATGCGTGCGATTGGTAGCTCGGAGAAAATCGATGACGGAACAGAGAGAGAGAGAGAGAACGCGTCAAGGGGATATGTGCTGCTGTGCGTGCTTGGTTTGCAAGTATACATAATATAGGTGTGTATATACTCAAACGAAGGGGCAAAGGAGCGAAAGGAGGGAGATCGGTTGTGATGCACGTGAGTCGATGCCGATGAGCTACGAGCCCTCGAAAAGAGCGCGCGCAACGGTCGCGCACGCGCTTTCTCGTCACACCACACACACACCGGTTATTATACAGTTGGATTTTTTTATCGAAATGGATTTAAAGGTTATTACTTAAATCATTCGAATAATTGATAATAGCATGAGATTGATTTGAGAGTAAAACTTGAGTATAATGTACAAATCATAGAGAAAATCGTGAAATCGATCTGAGAGTAAGACTTGAGTATAATGTGAGCAAAGAAATGTTGTTGACTTTATTCATTGGAAAAAATAATTGTCGGAAAATTTTATGCGCACTTTGCAATGGTAATGCATCTGTTTTGACGGTTGACATATTATATTACATGTAAAAAAAAAATGGTACGTCAAGCGCCTCGAATATTTTATACGATTTTTGATTTCAAATGATTTCTAAATCCATAAAATCAAAATAACGCAATAAATTTCTTTTAAAGTCATCAATGAAAAATCATTGCGAAATTACCACGCCTAAATGATTAAAATTCCTAAATCTCTCTACCGATTTTTTCAAAGCAATACTATGATCACGCGATCCAAATATGCCGTTATTATAAGGCACATACGATTTGATAATTGATTATCATTTGTTAAACGTTTCTTTGCCGATTGCGGATAAGAAAGAGAAAATATGGAAATCGGTTCAGTCCTCATTTGAAATACGAGTATCTGCATGGAATCGGCCTCACAGATAATACGTTTGGTATGTACGCCACCAGCAATTGTAGGAAATCGAAAAATGTGAGGATGGAATGATGGTCTGACTCTCAGCCGACATCAGGAGAGGCCACTGTATGTGTGCGAAGTTTTCAAAGATCGAGCAAATTGTTCACAAGCACGTGGTGGACACAAGAAGAGAGCGCGCCCCTTGCGTATACATATAGGTGTCGAGCCCTTGTGCGACTGTAAGGGTGTGCGATACGTGTACACGCGATCAAGTTCAGTCCAAAAGCAACGATAGGAGAAGATGAGAGAAAATCGGTATACCCGCGTATATTTTACACACATTAGACACACACATATCGCGGGGATGCGGAGCAAAGACCGAAAATATCGATTTTCAGGCCCGCGAGAGTCGAGCCCTATATATATATATGTGGTCGTCTGTCCTTCTCCCTATGTATACAGGTAAGCCTGTGTGCGGAATGTAAAGTTGGTGTATATATCCTAAATCCTAGGCAGAGAGAAAGAGAGGATCAGAGGAGAGGGAGAAAAATGAGCTCACGCGCGCGCGCGCAGCACGTAAAATACAAACCACCGCTGTCGGGGGCTACAAGGGGGCGAGAAGCCGCCTTTTCAAGGTATAGGTGTATATATGTATATATACGTGCATGGGTATCGCGTCCAACGATACGGTATATTCACACGCAGAAGGAGCCACGACACCGAGCGACAGAGACGTCTAGGCCACATTATACGCATAGACGCGATAACGCCAGACCATCCCCACTACCTCGTGTTGTATTTTATACCCTATTGTGTTGTTGTTTTTTTTTATCGATATTGTCATCGGTAACAACAACAATTGTGTCGTGGTCGCAACAAAACTCCTACTACAATACTGCTGTGATGGTGTAATTTCATTTACCAAAATTATACTTAACGATCTTCCGCGTATGAATACGTTTGGTTCGGTGGTACACGCTATTGTCGTTTGTTATTTGCGCATATTTTCGCGAGTGGAGTCTCTCTACCCTCGTATACACACATACTCATCTCTTGACTTCCAGACTGGCATATTTTTTTTCTACTTCTTTTGTTCCAGTTCAAAGTGCGTGTCATAAAAGTTGGCTCATCGATCGATCGATCGATCGATCGACAAATGATCTTGCCATTGTTTGTTCGCGTATGTATATATATAAAATCAGTGCAGTGCCGTTGATTCATCGATCGTGTGTTAATGTACCAGCGGTGCGTAAATGCTATTAGCGCGTACTACTCGACTGTCAGGGGAAAAATAAGAAGAGGAAGAGAGAAGGATCGCAGACAAACGTAACTTGGTGGTTTGCCGGTATACAATTAGCCTCTTGTGGTGCATCATCAGCGTTAGTTGTCGATCGTCGCAATGTCGTCAGGTAATTTTTTGTCCAATTGCCATAACCCAATACACGAGTGATCCTTATTTTCCTTCCCAGCTATACATGGCCCAGCCTCTCTTTCTATCCCTCTCTCGTTGGTATCATTGATTTTTCTCAAGTCTCGCACGACAGAGAACACGCTATTGAGGCTGTCTCCCTCTTTCTCTCGCAAGGATAGATAAATATATGTATGCAGGTATACATGTGTACGTAATGATCAAACACGCGAACTTGAATTTTGACGCAGAGGTATATACACGATCGGGAAGGGCTGCTTTGTTTCTCGGGTTCGCGCGTTGGTGGGTTATTGAATCGATATCGGTAAGCATCGTCGCCTACATGTATATATGTATGTAGCGTATACACGTATAATGCCATTCCTGCACCCACCCTCGTTCGCCGGATCATATATACGTGTATACATCTTACACACGCCACATGGAGAGAAGAAGAGAAACAGAGGGAGAGGACGAGGGATCCAAACGGAATCATTGATCGCCAGCGACGGCGGTGCGATGCGAAAAATATATATACACGACTGCAGTCTCCGGCTCTCCTTCTTTCTTGCTCCCTTGGGGTATATAATATATATATATATATACTCGTTATATGTATGTGTGCGTGTTTTCTTCGATCGGCAGTATACGGAATACCTATCTGCCCCTTTGATATACGTATATCTCGTTAGCTCCGTCCTCTCTCTCGTTCTCTCGGTGTAATATAGCAACTTGGGGGATATATGCGAACGAGTTTCCGCTGCAGTGTCATATACAGATTTTCTTTTTTTTTTTTTTTTTCCCAAGGTCCTAACCCAGGTTGGTCGATTTGTACGATCGAGAAAAATAATTTTAGGTTACCGGTGGATTTTTTAATTAAAAAAGGTTTTTTAAGGGGATTGGTACTTGTTAGTTTCATAGTGGTTGTGTTACCTCGCACATGTAGGGGGAAAATAAAGAGGCGATTGACAAAGTTGTGCGTACTTACCGTTTTTACATTAGATATGCGGTTGACGCAGCTTACCACGGATAGACAAAGAACGCGTCTCGCGTGTGTTGTTCTGCTTTCAAGATTTACACACCGGAAATCTCGCTCGTATAGTCCAGGTCATAATTTGGAAGTCGTTGGAAAAAATATTTAGATTTGGTTTTTTTGCATGATATTGAGCAAAATTATTTCCCAAAAACAAGTACATGTGTTGGCAGGTCTCAAATTTGGTCAAAATTTGTTTGAACAATTGCTCTTGAACAAATTTCGTAAATTTTTTATTTTTTCTCGAAAAAATTTTATTTAGGGTCCATAGACTATTAACAAAAGATATCTCTTGCAACTTTTCTCTAAAGTTAATACTTTCTGACATGTTAGTTGTTAAAGTTCGAAAAAATGCGAAAATGGCTCTTTTCATCCATGAAAAATAGTATGAAAAAACAACAATTTTTATTTTCACGTAACTAAAGTCTATGAACATCTTTATTCATTGATCACGTTATTTTCTCAAAGAACGGGTTTATTTAAAAGCGAAAGATTAACTTGAGGAGTAAAAAAAAATTATTTTGTTAAAAAAGATACTCTGATTTTCCCACAAAATTTGTGGGAGATCACTGATGTTGTTTCAAGGAGGATCTAGTGCAAAAAAATCGTCTAACAAAATCGAGTATATCGTGTAACTCGATTCGTAAATGATGATTTAAAAAAAAAGGAAATATCCGGTAATAATCCAATGAAAACAAATTATTTTTAAATATGCGTAGAATAAATAACCGTTATCAACCAAAAATGGGTACCAAAACATGATTATTTTTACTAATCAGAACTGAGCAGTGACAAAAGCTCGATTGTAATGTCAATTAATGTTAATATTGTCGTCAAATAAGCTCCAAATTCATTTTAATCAAAGTTTGAAAATTGATGTACAAAGCAAGCACAAAAAAATCATACTATGTCAACCACTCATGTACAACAAAAGAATATATTTTTAATGATATTTTTTAATCAGTATATTCCTTGAAAGTATACGTAAAAGACAAATATTTTTAAAAACGTACCTGCACCTGGTTGTAGAACTAATAAATAATATATGTGGTTTTTTGATTCATTTCAAATCTACAAATACACAGAACGACTCACAAATCTTTTCGGATTATTTAGCAAAATAAAAACTGTATCAGCAAAAGGAGATAAAAAAAGAGCAGATAAATCGAAAAAGGGGGCAAAAAAGGTGGAAGCTCACGCGAGTACTAGGGGGGGTAGCTGTGCGGCTGCTACTGGCTGTATAGATTGATGTCCTGCGTCCCTCTCCTCCTTTCAGCCGTACACAAAGATAATCGCGACGAAATTCACGATCGATCGTTGGCTAATATAAGTACAAGAGACAAAACAACGAAATACGCATAGGCGTACTTTGTCTTTGCAAATCGAGTTTTATCCATACAATTATTATTATATTATACATGCGTACACCGATTTAACCGTACACGCAAAAATGAAGCTATAGAGGATAGATTTGGAGAGAAAAGCTGGTATAGTTCTTGCCATCGTTTAATGTTTACGCAAATATCTCGTTTTAGGTCGGGTTAAGTTTTTTTTTTTTTTTTTCCTGCGAAACTGCTATAACTCTGGTTTACATATGATGTAAAGGGACAGGGGAATGTGTTTTTATTCGGATTTATTTGGAAGCTGGTGGATGGAAATTTGTTGTATAATGATAGAAGATTACTCTCAAAATTTTCGGAAACAATGACCAACGCAGTGAAAATTGTCGTGAACTCCATGTTATACTTGAAGAGTCTCAAGTACTAGAAAAGCCCAAGCTATTTAATGAGATTGAATGATGAACAGGTGATTGTATAAGGTACTTACAAAAATCGAATAAAAACAAATATTTTCAGTTGATGCTTTCCATTAGAGATAAAAAAAATTTTGTTAATAATTTTGGCTGATTTTGTTACTTTTGATCTTCGATTTGTTAAAATTGACGGTAAGTTTGATTCACAGTTTCATCTGTGCGCTTGTTTTGAACGAGGCTTGAGATAAGCTTCTCATTTTTTGTTGTGTCTGTTGTGTTTGAAGAATCGTCTTACTTGAATTTGTTGCAATTAGCTACATGTACGTCTCATTTTTTCACGAATAAGCTAATTTTTCAGCTGAAATAGTATATTACGCACATAGGCCAAAAAAGTAAAAAAAAAACCATCAAATCTTTCGTGTATTATCGTTGTGCAACCGGGAATGTGCACCTTTCACCCCACCGTCATAAAAAATAAACAAGATACATTCTTTCGTACACAATTAATTCTGGTAATTTTAATGTCCATTGTTTCACATTTATTTACTTCATAAAACTTTTAATCCAAGCTAACTTAAAACCTGGGATCCACTTAATGAATTTTAGCTTAAAAATTGGATCAGTCTTTTGTTAGTTTAGTTTTTGAATTCACTAAGGTGGTCAATAATAGTAATATTTACATTAACAATAGGTCTCTCAGCTTTTGAGATAAGTGGGCATACAGTAGGTTCACGATCAACTTAGTGTGTCAATAATTCTTTTTACTTTTTTACCAAAAACCAGCCAAGCGCCAAACACCGAATTCTACTTTGTGTAAACTCTCGAAACAAGGCCTTGTACCCTCCTCTAAGTTTATTAAAATATTGGGGTACATGACCCATAATTTTGGGAGTACACGAAGTAAAATACTGTATTTAACGATTTAGCGGATAGTATTTGATGGCTATAGGTTCAGTTTCGTTTCTCCTTGCACGTGGTTGATTTTTTCGATTACTTGATCTTGCGTCAGCTGGAACAGCAACGATGATGATTGGTTGAGTCAAAAAGTGTTTTATGATTGGAATCGTTGGAAACTCAACAGCTTATAGATTTACCAAATAAATGATTTTGTTGCTACAGTTGATACCAAGTAGATGTTAATTGAAGCATTCGCGGGGCAGTATCATTCCGCGAGCATGGCCACTCTCGTCCAATATTTCTTGCAAGACTTTTGTTGTGCCCCACCACTTATTTCAGCAAAACCACGCCGAGCAATTAACTATCAAGGGTTAATTGATCAGTGCCTGGCCAATCACGCAACTTAATTTCCTTTCGTTGTCACGAGTCGGTATTGACTTGTGTATGATATATTATGAAAACGAAATTTGTACATTTCTCTCCTTCTCTCTCTTGCTGTGGTGTCTTAATGAGACGCATTGACGCAACACGAAAACACTTTTATTTTTATCGTCACGTGCCTGCGAATTATACCTAATTTTTCGGTAAATAACGAGCTACTGATGTTATCACGGTCACGTCCTGATGCGACTGATGGTGAATTAGGTCTCCTAAACTACAACATTTCATAGATAAGATGGGATCTGCTGATCTGGCTCGTGTTCTAGAGGTGGTGCGATGTTAATAACGTATGTTTTGCTCCCCACTGGTCTGCCTTCATTAATTAATTATTGTTTAAGCATACATTATTTACGATCTCTTTTATTGGAAAAAAAGCAAGTTGACTCTGTTCATTTGGCTGTTTCGTACAGTAAATCACTTTAAACTCACAATTAAATTCTTGTTAAATTGTACGATATTGATGATGGATAAGATGGTGTGTTCCAAGATAAATAACGCCATTGTACATCTAATTTGGTACAGATGTTGAAAATAACATTTTAACTCGATTGCAACATTACTTGGACAAAACTAAAAAGCAGATAATACAAGTATCAACTTGAAAAACTAAGTTCATTGCTAATCACATTACTTAAAAATAGATGAAAAAGTGTAAAATGTAGCCATGAATTGAAAGGCGCGTGGGATGCACGCAATCGGTATAATAACGATCAGTTTCGAGAAGTGCAGTTTAGTGTATCTTTGCGAAAAACTCACACCCAAGACTTGTATACGCTTTTACCAACGAAAAATCTGCGATCCCCTTGAAACGACGATAACGACTTATCGGACAACTCGACCAAAAATCAGGTACTTGTACCCCGATGTGCAAAATTGGCCATCGTATGCCATAAACGCGGCAGCTCTTCCAATCAGTTATACAAATCGTATCCCCGTTTGCTTTTAGCTATACTCGCGTAATTATCGTACACGTATCTCATAGAGCTTGGAAGCGTATAGTGGAGAGCAGAGAAAAAGATGGGGGTGTACCCCCCACCAGCCCCTCTTCTTATCGTTTTATCGCCGTCGTCTGGTCGCTGCAAGGGGGACGACGACTGTGAATATCGATCAAGTGTGTATGTTTTGCTGGGCTCAGCTCTCGGGGAGAAAGATACAGAGAAAACGAAAATACGGGAATATGGATGTGTAGCCCCCCCGGGCGGGGTACCCGAGACTCCGGTATCGTGGGATGGGGAGAGAAAAAAAAAGGGACTAAAGAGAATTTGAAGTTCTGCCGATGGCAGCGCGCGCTCGCCCTTATTTAATCGTACGCGCTCGATATTTGTAAATTAGATTGGCACGTTGTTGCTGCGGTTCTCTCTCCCTTTTCTGCTGAAAAAAAGGACGCCGTCATCGTTGTGACCATCGGTAATTTCAGTGCTTCGACTCATGCGAGGGATGCGACTCTGCTTTGATTAGCTCCTTCTTCGCTTTCTCAACTGGATGATTTTTTTTTTTTGTGGCTTAGTATACGATTTTATTGGCAATTCGTCGTTTTTCAGCTTTGCTTCGATTACTATATCCAGTCATCGTTAAGCTGAATTATACTTCATCTCAAATAAAAATCTTGGGAAAAATGGGCTCCTTGAACGTTTAATGTCGTCGGTATCGATCTTAAAGCCTATGCATCAGATGACGCAGGGGATAATTGTTGAAAAAGCCGACCACGTGCGTGGCCAATTATCAAAAGTAGTTAACCGAATCAATCAGACTTTCTTATCACTTGAAAGTGCATTATTACTCTATTGCGTATCAATAAAAAAATGGCACTATTTTTCGATTTGTGTGAAAAAGGGGCGTAAAAAAGCTACGAGGTGATGGTAACAGTACCTTGGAAACCGAGAAACAAGACGACGAGCTGCGGGGGAGCCGTCCCCCATCGCCCCCCCCCCCCAACCGCTCGTATACGTATACATGGCTGCGAGCGCAGTGTTACTTATTCCCTTGATGGGGGAACGGGCCGAAACACTGTCTGCACAACCGAGGATCGATCGCGGCTCCAACGCGCCACGCGATCAATGCCGGGCTCTCCCCCCCCTTTCGCTCCGTTGTACACCCTCCTCCACGCGAGCGTGAAAATGAATCTTTTTTTTCTTCTCTTTTCTCGGCTCAGCATCGGGAAAGTGCGGATTATTTGGCTGAGAGAGAGGGGGAGAGTGTTTGCGGGGTTCCGATGAAACATACAAGGTCAGCGGAGATCAAAGGGTGCCGGGGGGGCGCGAAGAAAAATAAAACGCGCGCCGGCCGGTCCCACGTTTCGACCGAATCATACTTCACATGCGCGCGGGGTCGTGCAATTTTTGGGGTGGGTGCAAAGTAGAAAAACAAAAAAAAGAATCATCCCTGCGTTCCAGATACACGGCAAACTACCAGCGTACAGTTAGTGCGTAATCGCGTTAGCCGTACACACAGTATATGGCTCCTTTTCACTCGTGTATTGTAATATAGCTGCTGGCATAGGTATTATATACATGCGGAGAATGAGAGGGCGGAAAAGGCGGTTGTTAGGGGGGGGGCTGCGTTCCCTTATCGATCAGTTCGAGATTTTCGACGGACCCTTTCGCCTCTACCCCTCGTTTTTCTCTCCTTTGTCTTTTTTTTTTTTTTTTTTTTTTTCTGTTCTGCGCTAGACCAGGGAACAAGGCGCAATTCGTGATTTTTATTTCTCCTGTCGCCCCGAAATTGCCGCTCTTGTTGCGTTACGTGCCTACTCGGCAGCCGGCCGGCAAACTAATGCTCGAGTGGGAATTTTAATCAAAGTGCCTTTCCTCCTCCGTCACTCGCGCGATACTTGAACTACCAGCCAAATTGCAAGAACAATGCCATCAAAGACCAAATTGTACCTACTTTCGATATATCCTGGACATTAGGCGAAGTACCTTCCTGTATAATATATACAAAATATAGGATACTTGTCTTGGTTTAAAGTGCATCCAAATTCAAATAACTCTTACGTAACGAGATCCTTCAAAATTCTCCTTCGTTCTTTCGTCCATTTGTGGCTCAATTGGACAATCTTTCCTTGGGTCACGTAAGCTCTACAACTTGTATGAACAATAACGCATGTTCCAGACATCACGACCGAAAAGATCAACATCCCGGCGTCCGAGAACTTTCAGCTAAAGTGGCACAGCTATGGAGCCCACCTGCACAGTTCGGTGGCGACGCTGTTGCACTCGGAGTCGTTCGCCGACGTTCTCCTGGCCACCTCGTGCGGCAGACACGTGGCCGCGCACAGGTTCGTCCTGGCCGCTTGCTCCTCGTACCTCAGCCACATCTTCCAGACCTGCCACTTTGGCGCCAACACTAACGCACCCATCATCGTCGTGAGTACACGCGTTAGAGTGCACGCACCAATTTGCAGCTGCAAAAAACATCGTATCTTCCTTTATCAATCAGGTGCTGCCCACGGAGATCGGCTACCGAACCCTCAAAATCCTAATCCAGTACATGTACAGCGGCGAGACGACGGTGACGAACGACCAGCTGGAAGGTGTCCTGAAAGCCGGTGACATCCTCCGGGTGCGCGGACTCTGGCGCTCGAGTTCCAGCGGGGCTGGCTCGAGTAACACCAGCAGCACCAGCAGCAGCAAGAAGGAGAACATCCAGTCGAACAATCAAAAGCTCGCGCGGGACAAGTCCCAACCGGGTCACAACACCGGGAGTGTCGCTGCCACCAACGGCGGTGGCCATCACATTCAGAAGATCCGACTGGTCCAGCCGGTGGTTGACAAACACCCCGAGCAGTCCAGTAACCAGACCCAGGCCAATATCCAGCAACAGAACGCCCAGTCGACGTCGAACGGCGTCGCCCAGTCGAACGTGCTCAGGATGTACGAAAAGAAGACGGCCACCACCACCGGGGAGAAGGAGAGGGCGCAGGAGACCGGTAGAGGTATCATCGTCGAGGCCACGGAGTCTGGTGGCAAGAGGCTGGTGATCGATCTGGAAGCCAATTGCGGTCAGGAGCAGTCCAAGAACAACAAGGAGAACGTCGAGAACGCCAACGGGAAGAAGCGCAAGAACACGTCGAGCAGCGACGTCGAGTCCACCAAGTCCAAGAGCGACGTCGAGGAGAACGTGAGTTGTTGTTGGGCTTTTGCGTGATGGGTGTAGTATAGGTGATTGATGACTTTTTCTTTGTAGAGTGAACTGAATCTGGAGATGCTGGTCAAGGAGGAGCCGATGGGTTGGGACGACTCGGTCGATCCGTCCGACTCGTTGGTCATAGATCACGATATCGACATCAAGCCTGTGGGTTCCCTGAAACTTACTATTCATGTTGGTTTCGTACAATTGTTTTATTAAAAAAAACGTTTGTTTTGTTGGTAGGAGATCGTGCACAGCGCTGATGAGGACGGGGACATCGAGGAAGAGGAGTACACGCCTTTGACGTGCGACATGTGCAGCCAAACGTTCAATAGACCATCCGATTGGGTTCGTCACATAGAATACACGCACGCCGACATGACGGAGAGTAGGAGAAGAAAGCGAAAGGTACGTTGTTTCCCCGATGAAAACTAGTTTCGATTAACTTTTGCGTTGTGCGTGATGGTCAAACTTTTTTTTTCTACTTTATTGGGAGTCGAATATGTGTCCGATGAGCTGTTTTTAGAGCTTTTGCATATGTATGGGCTTAGTAAAGAGTTTCTTAGAGACAATCTTTGTCACTATCTGTATAACTGTGTTGCATCATATTTTACTGACTCGATACTTTTCTACAAGAATCGTACTAAATATATGGCAATCTATAAGATTGTTACATGTTACAACAAAGAAAAAAAAAAAGAATAAAGTTATTAAAACATTATTACAGGGTGACATGGACGACGAAAACAAAGATTTCCCGCCCCTGAAGTGCGATCTGTGCGGCAACACGTATCCAACGCCCCAAGAGTGGGTCCGGCACATCCAGTCGGAGCATACGGACGAACAACTGGCCCAGATAAACAACTCGGCCCCGCCGAAGCCCAAGCGCGTGCACAATTACCAAAAACTTTGCAACATTTGTCAGAAGGTGTTTCCCAGCCACGCGTCGATGATCATCCACCAGCGAACGCACACGGGCGAGCGACCCTTCACCTGTACTTACTGCAAGAAGGGCTTCAACGTCAAGAGCAACTTGCTCAGGCACTTGAGAACATTGCACGACAAATTCGTCCATCCGAGCCTCTACGGGAGCAACGGGAAGAAAAATTCCTCTTAAGAGTGAACGTAACTTTGAGCAGCTGGTGTTGTGGAAGATGAGAGCGGAGTTGTATATTTTTTTTTTCTGACAAATGCATTGTACGTGAATATGAATAAACAAAATAATTGAACGAAAAAAAGTGGATGATGGAGAGGAAGGAGAGAGTGACTGCATGATGCATTGTCAGTTGGAAGAACAAAAAAAAAAAATAAAGGGAACCGTCAGTGGTTTCGTGCCATATATCAAATTGAATCAAACTTTCCAAGCTTGTACCGTACGGCCAAGGTATTGATTGAATTTTTCGTTTGTTTTTGAATGATTGGGCGGATTATGCGGGTGTTTAGCTAGGGATAAAGATGGTTGCGATTTTTTTTGAGAACAATTGTCAGAGTTAATTATATGTTTGCTCATGTGAAGAGAAGGGACAATACCTGGGCTTTGAAAATCAAGGAGTCTGACAAATAATGCCAAAGTATTATGATTTTGTTGCTGTATTGAGAAGGAAAAAAAAAAGGAATAATTCTTGGATAAGCTTATTCGTAATGAAAAATTATGTTTAATGTGGAGTACGTTTAGAAGCATAATCGAGTGCGAGTGTGATAAAGGTGGCAAAATGGTCGAGTGATTTTTTCGAGTACCTAATACATAAGTCTTTGAAAATAAGTACTTGCGTGTAAAATAATTTTTAAAATTTAAAGTAAAATAAAAACGACAAGGGGAGGAAAAACTCAATTAAGGAACAAAACAAATTTACCTACAATTTTAGCGATTACTCGAAAATCTTAAGATATGTAAGATTATAACGATATATACCTACTTCTTATGACATTCGTAGGTTATTTCATCCGTGGTCTTAGCCCACTTTAATCCGACAAGTTCATAAACTAATTATGTATTTTTGTATTCAAGTAGCTTATACAGCTTATGATAATAAATCTTAAAGTCTTGAGAGTTAACGTGGCGATTAAAATCTTGTTCTACATGGGACTTTGATCTTTTTACTAGGCTAGAGGAGGATAAGGTAAAACAGAGAGTATGAAACAAAATTTACCAAAAATTTTGAAAATATATATTGAGTTTTGTCTTATTCAATACAAAAAGCGATACTATCAAAATCAATAATAATGATAATAACAATTACAGTAAGACTATGTGAAGTTGGAGAGAGAAACACGGTCACAGTCAATCATACGGCGAGCGAGAATGTACATCGTTTTTTTAACTCAATATATCTTAAATAATGTCATCTTACTACAAATTTTAGTGTCAATTCTGTATTGCGTTAATACTGTGACAAGCCAAATGACTTATATGTAAAATTTCAATATATACTATCTTCAAATTACTTGTACAATGCTGAGAGTTCATTTACCGACTATAAACTTAAGATCCTATAAAAATTTAAAATATCATGTACATTCACTTATAGATACACATTCAACAAACAGGATACCTTTAACATGGGGTTGCAGAGTTTTGTTTTGCTCATCTATTTGTACAAATAAAAATGGAAAACCTGCTGGCTGATTCTTTGGACGCCGAGATGAGAGAAAGAAACTTTAATTTTCCTCTTCGTCGTCGATTTTGGGAGCAAGATAATATCTAATATGACCGATCTCGCCGATTTGGTATTCACATACGAGGGGTACGTCGCCGGACATCGAGAGCTTGACTTGTGCACAGAGGGGAGTTGCTTTGACGAAATAATTAAGGTACCTGCAGGCAAACGTGAGTTTGACCGGTTCCTGCATATCGATGATCACAGCTTCTTCTTCTTTGTCTGCTTCCGCCGTTTGGGCCAATTTAATGTTAGCTGCAAATAATACACCATAGCTCGTATTACAATTAATACAACTAATGTTATTGGTAATTATCCCAACAGCAACTTAATCATTAAAATGCTACTTTACTGTACACAAGTATCACATTTTACATGATAGAATGAATATTTTTGTTAACATACCATTTCCGTAATCTCCGGACGCAGAAAACTTGATTCCTTCCTTAGAGCAAGCAATCGTGATAGCTTCGCCAAACTGACTCAGATCCTTGCATATTCTGGCAAACTCTTGGGAGGGCATTTTCACGACACAAGAGTAAATAGTTTCCTGCAACCAAACGCGTTGACATTAAGTAAAGTTCACTGAGCATAAGAAGCTAGGGTATAAGTAATCAAGGAGTACTCACTGGGATGCCAAGGTGCTCTTGGTCCATGTTGATGAGCTTCATCTCGTACTCGGCCAGTTTCTCTTTGTTTGGGGACTCGAATATGAAGATTATGTTGTCGGGGTTGTCCGATGCCCTGAGGGTCACCGTGTCTTCTGAGCTGGCGCATCTGAGGATCTTCGTCATCCTGACCGACAAAGGAAGAAAAAACCCGCGCTTAGTACCGCAAAAAACGAAGACAAAGGCATATCCCGGATGTTGATAATATAACCTCAACTTACGTGCCAATGTTCATGCCCATGGAGACGTTCCTGTCGCACCTGTACTTGTCGAACCCGTCGCTCCTCAGGTTGAGCGAGACCAGGGAGACGTGAGCGTTGTCCATCGCTTGGACTTGCATACCCGAATCCGAGCACTCGAAGGTCGCCTCGGTCAGCAGATCCTTGACGGCCTCCAGGACCTTCTTCAGGATCGCGCTCTGCGCTAGCCTTGCCTCGAACATTTTTGCTGGGTTTGGGTCGTTACTTTTGTCTTAATTTTCCGACAGCCGAGCCGACGTTCGTCTATTTTCCAGCGGGAAATCGCGTACAGTGTTTTTCAAGCGCAACAAGTTACCGGTACGACTCTCACGCGCGTGCTCGAAGTAATTCCGGAGGGAGAAAAGCCCGCGCGAAGTGATATGTTTCAGATTTACGGCCGGATGTAGATGGCTTCTGTTCTCTTTTTATTGTAAAGGTGCAGTCACGTGGAGCACACGCAATCCGCAATATGGAACGGAAACTAGTTGAGTTGAGGGCCATAAAGCCGCTACCACATAAAAGGGTGTTTTCCGCAATGGTCAATCCAAATAATTATTCACCAGCAAGTAATTAAAGGTTGCGCTCTACGTTACCATCAGGTCTGTAAGTCAACTACCTTGAATTAACTGGCGCTCTGTTCCGTAATCTGGCCAGTTAAAATAGCAGACCACAGTCAACAGCGATGAAATCTTCACTTTTTTCTCGACTTTCACGTCGTCTGCTGTTTTAACTATAGCCAGATTACGGAATATATATTAGCGCCGCAGTTTAATTCAAGGTATAGTTGACTTACCGACCTGACGGTAACGTCGAGCGCAAATTTAAATTACTTGCTGGTGACGACGATTGCGGAAAACACCCCAAGCGGCGTTACCACCACGACCTACGTAACTTTGCAGCCTCTGATTTTATCATTCTGGTAAAGAGAGCAAGGTGTAAGATGGACGTGAAGTTGTGTGTAGTAATTAAAGTAAAAAAACTTGCCGCCAAAAACACATGTATCGTTGTTTTCTTACTTTATAGCTTCATCATGAGTTGCGGCTGGTTTATAACTGATTAAATGGCTCTACGCGCTAAAGCTCTGGTTCAAAAGTTTATAGGGCCACTTTTTAGTTCAGAAATTCGCAACGCTAGATGGCGCTGATCCAAACAATAATTACTTCTTATATAAGAGCCATTTAATTAATTATAAACCAGCCGCAACTAATTTTGTAGATAGATAATGAAAACTTGACGTGGCCTGTGCTGTTTGCGGCAAGTTTACAATCTAATTTACACCCAAAAGTCGACCTCCAAAAATATAGATATTCATATGGTTTAATAAAATCGACCATATGGCATTACTTAGTAGTAATTACTTTAATTACTACACATAACTTCACGTCCATCTTACATCGTGCTCTCTTTACCAGAATGATAAAATCAGAGGCTGCAAAGTTACGTGATAACGCCGCTTCAGCGTCAGAACTTACGCGTTTGACGTCCGTTCTAGAATTGGGCCAAGTTCTTCGCTGCCAAAATGAGTTAGTTCATTTGAGGTTAGCATCGAAGAACTACGATTCTGACGGACGTCGGACGCGTCTATGCGGGGTTAGTCAGGGCCGTATTAAAGACTCGCTAAGGCCCACGTCAGGTCTCTTCAAGAGACTCTCTTGGCTGTGGCCAAGGCAGAGATTAGCCAAGGTGGGCAGCATGGCAATGTAAACTCCCCGATAACGGGGTAATTTCCCATAGGTAAATTCTCACGATTGGAGAATGTCTAATGCGGAAAAGTAATTCGCGAGTTTTTGTTCAGTAAAGTCATAGTTCTCCGTATTTTTGACTATTACTTATGTGGTTTGCTAGAGTAAAGTATATTCTTTCTTTACGAATGCGATGTAAGTTATATTCAACTCAATAACACAAAAAGTATCTATGAAAAACCTTAACAACCTATGAAAATTGAGATTTAGCAGTTGTCAAGTTTTTTGTTCAAGGATTCAAGATAGCTAAAAATATGTTGTGAGTGAGATAGACAAAATAAAAAAATATAATTGTCATCAATATTTGAGAGGTGTGTATATGGTACCTTACATAGAACAAGTGGAATAAGAATATAAGGTACTTTGTTAAAAAAAAAAAAAAAAAAGAAAAGACATCGACACAATGTGGCACAAACTTATATCCTAACACGTAATGTCGCAATATTTATATAATACAATTACATTACAAATATGTACAAATTATACTAAAAACAGGGCAAGTTTTTTGTTTTGTTTTCTTTACAACAAGAAAATCATATGGCATCCAACTTGATGACGAGTACATCAAATAGGTCTTTGAATTTAGTTTTTCAGAAGTCATGCACTCCAATATCACTTGCAGTGTTCACTAAATCTTTGAAAATTGTGTCAAGATTCTGTAAGAGAAATAAAGTGATGGTTAAATTCAACTTTAATGCTTGAACCACTAGTTTTATAAATTTTTTCTTTAAACTCACGTCTGATGGAACATCGTCATCAGATGTTTTACCAGGACTGTCGCTTGTCAGCTCTTTGTATGTACTAACATTATCTTCAGTGCTATCGTCATCAAAATTACCATAATCCATATCTGGGTACAATTCACCTTCATCGTCTTCATCGTCGTCGTCGTCGTCATCATCATCTTCTTCTTCCTCTACCGATATTTCGTTCAACTCTTCGTAATCAACTGGCTCTTTTTTAATCTCCGTTATAAAATCAGCATTGTTTTGGGTACTATCTGTTGGTTCTAATAACGTGTCGTCTAGTGCAGTTTCTCGGGAAGACTAGAAAATCGATTAGCAAGTTAACTTGTGCAAAAAAGCAAATTTTTGTATTTAAGGAACGACTATTCAGTATACTTTTCCTACCTTGGGTGCGCCCTTGGTAGGAAAAATAGGGTTCACACCTGGTGCGCATCCAACCAGGGCAAGCACAAGGAATCCCTTGGGACCTGCCAAGCAGGATTATTACTTGTCCTGCTTGCTTGGTGCTTGCCCTGGCGACATGCGCCATCAGGTACGAAAACTACTATTTTACTAGGGCAAAAAGTAATCTCTAAAGAACGTTTTGAATTAAAAGTTTTACAGTTTCAATCATAGTAAATTCTTTCGATGAAACTTCCTGGGTTTAAAACCATTCAATTATGGTATGAAAACGAAGCTATGCCAACTCAAGAAAAAATAGAGCAACTTTTTGAGTTACCCACGTGATGTGGCGTTTCGTATTGTACTTAAACATGTTATCATGTATCTACATCACTACAATTTTATAAAACGCCTCACATTCAAAGAGATATTTTCTTGTAGCGTATAAATTGTAAATGGGAAGTATAAATATATTCAAATGGAAAGAAAGTAAAAAATATGAGTCTTAAGAAGCAATAACTGTTAACAAAAGTGTACGAGATAGAGCTAGTTCAGTTGACTGTTAAAAAAATTAAGAAGCTTATTTAGCCGTTGTGCAAAAAGGAGCTGTCTGGTAAAGTATTCTTTTTTTACTTTTTATACTTTGTAGCATGGTTGCTATATTGTTTTAGTTTTGTTGGATAAAAGTTTAAAGACAACCATTTATTGAAACTTTATCTTGCCTTAAGTACAAAGGTAAGTTCTGCATATGATTGTCTAATACAAACTGCTGATTAACAAGTACTTCAACTAGCTCTATCTTGCCTGCAACTGTCAATATATATAAAATATTACCACTGAGTGACTGATTTGTAGATTTTCTGCAGGTATGTTGGTATGTTTGATAGACGTCGACTCAACATCGCCAGTTAAATCGACATCAATACCGCTTTTCATATTTGGATTTGCAGATGTGATATGCTTATTTTGTTTTGTATCAATTGGTTGCTTCTCACTAACTTTAGTACTAATACTATCACTAGCCGTCGATTTTTCAGCCTCGTTTTTAATCTTTGGATTTGTTTTTGGTTCACCAGGACAGTTGTTACCTCTCTGCCGCCTGAACCTCACAATAATACTTCTACCTTCCCACATTAAACTATGGGCTGCTTTGTAAGCTGTTATCGATTCGTCTACAGAGTTGTATCTTATGAAAGCATATCTGAAATCAAAATAAAATTAACGTGATGGGAGTCATTAATTTTTTTTTAATTTTGAAGAATTAATAATAACTACCGTGTGTTTCGCATTTTTTGCGCATATCCTACGTCAACTCTAACTGCAGAGGGAAATTTACTTTTGACTTCGTTAACATTCACCGATTCTGGTAAGTTTCCTATGTAAAGTGTATAAGGATCGATTTCTTGAGGAACAGGATTATCTTCATCCCTGAGAGATTTTCTTTCTACTTTTAAATATCCACAACCAAAATAGATTTTTTCCAACTCCTTGATAGCTTCATCAATATCTGTACCTTCTGACATCTGTACAAAGCAATACCTAGCCCCACTTGGACTTTGAAAATGTATGTTTTGAATTGACGAATGAAAATTTCTGACTATTTCTTTGTTCAGTTCAGGATCTGGAAATTTGATTATCAAGCTCTGAGCTCGCACAGATCTGTTGTGCTCGTTCTCGGTCTTCAAAGCTTTTTCTGCATCTTCTTGATTCCAGGCGCGGGTCGGATAGCTCACCGACATTGGCTTTCTCTGCTTACTCTTCTTATGCCCTCCTGTATCATCCTAGAAGTACAAGGACCGTTGATAATATTTCACAAGTGAAAATAGAATTTAATAATGCCCGGACAAACCCTTTTATTCTGATCCCCACAGTTCTCCTGTTTCGTGACACCAATGGACTGATTTATTGGCAGCTGCATGTGACTCAACACAGTTTCCTTGCTTTTCTGCCAGTCCAGACCAAGAGCTTGACTGGTCATCGCAGCAGTAGCTCCGTAGTAAGAAGCTTGATCGTACTGTCCCTGAATGTGGTCGTACCTCTGCAACCTCCTGTTATTGCGATAGTACTTGCCCCTCTGCTGGTGCTGGTACACATTGTTCCGGTTGTGGTTGTACCTCTCCCTTTTAACGTAATTGTTCCTGGCCGGCACCTCCTTTTGAAACGCGGTCAGATCTCTGTGAGCGTGCTGTGTCAGTTGTTGAGCGGTCTGAGGAGTTATCCATTGCCAGGCAGTTGCGTGCGGCCAGGTATGAATCTGTGGAACTTGAGCAAACATCGCCGGAGGTGGCGGCACCGAGGCTTGCGGTGGTGGCATGGGTGGTAGGGGTGGCTGTCCCGGTAAGGGCTGGTTGAGGCTCGTCGGGGTTGCGCTCGCGTAGTTGAGGTAAGACGAGGCGTCATACCCATAGCTGACAGCCTCTTGTTTCACGTAAGAATGCGACTGGGAGTGTGCCTCGACGTTGCCGTCACCCTGTAAAACACACGTGCCGTGTAAATGTCAATAAATGTCAACAAAACACTGGACACCAGACAGATTTACACTTGTATTTTTTATTTATCATAAAATAAAAAATTGGATCGTGTTTAGTGAAGTTGCATGATTGTGTGCAACGGACTTACACTTATATTTCACTTCGCGCTCCAAATCTACTGAATAGAAATACTCGAGTAAACAAAAACAATAACAGCAGGTGTTTAGTGTTTATGCTAGTATAACAAATATACGCGTGTGTAGAGATTATTGTTGTTGTGTATACACGTGAGTCACAGAGAAAGAGAGAGAAAGATGAGACTGTACGATTCTTAAATTCTTAACCTAAATTCGCAGAGTGTGTTTATGTTGGAGCAACTTGGAAATTTTTTTTTGACAAGTCGTGTGCAGCAACGGAGAGAAAATGAAGCGATTTGGCGGGCTAATTGTGAAGTGAGTTTGATCGAAGCCGGTAATAGAAATTTTTAATCGGTACGCCGAGAGCCGCTCGAGAAAAATAATGAAGTACTTACCGGACGATTCATCATTAATTAATGAGTATCCGTGCAACTTCGCTAGACTTTTCAGGCTTCGCTTCGTGTGCCCTTCGTCCTGTGAGACTAACATCACTCGAGGCCGCGATCACATGGAGAACGCAATGCTCGATCTCTCTCACTCTCGAACGATTTCGTATATCGCGCGGTTCGTGCTGCAAATGTGACCGCCCCCTTACACATACCCCTGTGATGGGGTGCAGTTGTGCAGGGGTGCAAATAGAGCTGCGAAGTTGTACGCAATGGAAGTAGCCAATCGCGGACTTGCTTGCTTTGCTCTGATTGGCTGTTTCTAGTAGGTACGCACAGCCGTCGTAGCTCTACGTGAAGTTTCATTGCTCCATAGGTGTGCAGTATAATATTGTATGGAACCATCAACCATACGACTACTTGTGGGAAACATCTGCGCATTCGTTACCCTATAACAGGCGTTTTCATTTAATTTTCCCCGCACAAGTACTTATCAGTAAAATCACTTTGTTTTGAGGTTTAGTTTTAGAAACTTGATGATTCACTTTATTTTACGAGCAACAACTGCATGTCAATCCAACAGGCTTTTTTTGTACATCTCTGCTCCTGTTAACTTTTGATGCGATGTATGTGTACATATTTCAATCAAAAATTATATTTAATTCGTCCACTAAATTATTTATAAAAAACAAGTAACAAATCGAAACTAACAATAACTATAAATGATAAAGTCCAGATTTAAGATAATAATAATATTTATCTTCTTACTGGTAATTACAAGTAATTTTTTTTTTTTTAACTTTTTTTGAAAGTTNCATTTAAAAATGGAATGTTATAGTTACGAACCACACGATAAGTACAAGAAACCGAGTTTCCATAGTCGGCAGCGCTCGTAGCAGAGTGGGTAAGGTACTGGACTCATATGCAGGTTGTCGGGGGTTCAAATCTCTTTGTCGGAAAGTGTTTTTTTTTAACTTTTTTTGAAAGTTGAAACGAAAAATGTGGCTTTATTCTGTCATTAATGGTAGTTGTTTTCATCGCACTCCTGGACTATTTTGCAGCCTAAGGATCTCACAAAGCAGGCCCGAGAACCGTGAGGTAGCCCCGGATGTGTGCCAACACTGTTTTTCATACCGAGGGCACACCGTGGCACTTTAAAAACACCCGTAGCAGGAAAATAACGGTAAATAATTTTTATGAAAAATTAGCAATCATTTCAAATAATTAATTATATTTTTTAACATTCAACAACAGTTTTTTTTTTCCTTACTTTTCAAGATGTCATCTCTGACGGGGGGAAAAGGAAACAAATAAACAAACTAGTAACAACTTGGTGGATTAGAGGAAAAAGTAGCAACTTCAAAATTTTATTTGAAAACCAGTCACGTCCAATTTTCTTTGAAAAATCGGACACGTTGAATTTTCCAGCCTTTTCGCGTAAAGGGAAAACTTTGTTTACGAGGTGTCTACGATATCAACTAAAGCCCGACGTGTCTGTTTCTTGAATTAAAATACGAAGTGTCTCGTTTTTAAACCGAAGCCTGACGTGTTTATTTTTTTAATAAAAATTCAACGTAGCTAGTTCTTGGAGCGAAATTTGACGTGTCTGGTTTTTGGTGCAGGATAATTTGAGCAGACTGATTTTCGAACAAAATTTTGAGGTGGCTACTTTTTCCTCTAACCCACCAAACTATAGTTATAACACCTATTAAATTATATTTTCAGTCTCAGATCTGGATATTATTTCTTACTATCAGTTTTACGATCATTTTCGCTTGGGATGGATTTAGAAATTTGCTGTTCGTTATGATATTATATTATTTACAAATAAGCACATTGATAGCTGTTGCTAGCCACGTTGAAAAACACCAATAGAAAACAATATAAATATTCCAGTATTTATTGTACTTAAAAAATAGTGTTCAAAAAAACTTTTTATTTTTTTCAAGAGACCATAAACGTATTTGAATCCTTTTTCATACGATGAAGCCTTAAAAAAAGTGTAAGAAACTAGAAAAAAAGGTTGTGTTTGAAAAATAAACAGTGCACTCGATTTTATACTACATTTGCAATAATTCGTGACGTTAGTTTATGAAATGAAAATTTCACATGATACCCAATTCTTTTATTGATTCATAAACTGAGGTTGCAAAGGTATTCTGTTCAAGATAATTGACGCTGGGTGTACGTTTAAACTATTTATTAGACTTACCTAATTACCTTGAAATTTACAAATTGGTATACCTTTAAAGGTTTTTCAGCTCAAAAAAGGTGCTCAGTGCTTTTTCCCATTGAAAATGTTGAACATTTTTAATTTGAACTGAAAAATTGGAAGCATTTTCATTTGTCTCAATTTATATTTATGAAAATTCTTAAGGATATAGTTGTACGAGCTAATTGCAAACCCCATAAAAATTTTCTTGAAAAAAAATCAAGTCAGGTATGTTTGCAAAGTTGTGAAATCCAAATCTAGAAAAAATCAAGTTCTTTCGCCTTGCATACTTTTTGTATGACACTTGTTATATGTACAGTATTATACTGTCTTTTGTGCGAGCTCCTATTGCTAAGTTTCCCTCAAGTGACTTGATGTTTTTTTTTTTTTTTTTTTTTTTTTGGAAAAATTAATTGTATAACCCTGAAAGCTTGCAAATGATCTGAAGGGTGCCATTTTTCCGTTCAATTGTATCAACTGTAGAGTTTGCCGCAAATCGCAGTAGTGAGGACATGCATGCTGCGAGAGATGAGACGAAAAGATTTTGAGTGAAAGTGTTGTGGGTGCACAAGGGACAATGTTAAGGGCAGAGCAAAAAAGAACAATGACAGAACTGAGGAGAGATTAATATAATAACATCATGTATGGGCTACAGGAATGATTTATTACGAGGCCAAGAGAAATAGAAGTATATGGAGGTTTATAAGAATATACGACATGAAGGGAACACGAAGGGATGGTTAAAAAAAACATAAATAATAATATTTAAATTGTACAGAAAAACGAAATCTATTAATTCATATTGATGGGAATGCAAGAATTCGATCAGAGGTAGATTTAGGCTAAGTAGGCTATAGCTTGAAGAGGCAACTTTTTGGGAGAGGGGGGACGGTAAAATTTGAGAAAACTGTAAATTCTGTTGCAAATAAAAAAAAATTTGAAACAAAGTCGGCAGCATGTTTACGCTCTGTACAAAGACACTACTATCTAATTTTCTAAAACAGCATGGCAAACTCGCGGTAAACGCGACATTTCAAATGGGTACCTATAGTAAACAGCGATCTCAAAAGTTGTCATCTTGCAGATTTTCTGCACTGTAGTATATTTTAACAGCAGCATATTTCAAATTCAAAGCAGTAAAAAATTATTTGGGCCCATCAATTAATCCAGAGCTATTGAATTCAGTTGCAGCACTACACATGCATGAAAAATGGCACTTCAAAAAACTTAATTTTTGATGATTTAATAAATCAATCGTCAAACGTTTCCACTTCGGGGACGTCTTTCGTGACATTTGGACGTTTACTTGGCTCTTGGCAGGAAAAATAGCTTCGCTCCGTACAATTGCTTCTTTGATGAAAAAAAAAACTGATATTTGTTGTTACGCATTATCCTACCCTTGTATTCTTGTGTGTATTGTATTGATGTAACCATGCCCTCTTTCCAAAGTTTTTCTGTTTGGTACCATCAAAGGTTTGACCGGAATCGAGGAATCACGAAAAAAGCGAGAAAACGATGCTTCACTCATCGTAAAGTTGAAACAACCGATGCATTTTACGGTTCATCGGAGCAAAGACACAACGGAACGAAAGATAAAAATCGCACCTCGCTTCGATAGACGTGACATCAACCCTGACTTTTTGTAAACGCATGTATATCACGCAAATACGGTAATATCTTGCCGCGACCACCATACGATTTAGGATTCAGATTCAAGCTCCCCTTGCACGATTGCAATCGCACTGCATCCTTATAATCACAAGAGAGTTCGGCTCCTTTTTATCTCTCGGTGTAGGTATATATACACTATAGAGCGAGGCAACGGTGGACACACGGATGTAAGTATATTATATACATATACAGTGTACAGTATCAAGCAATCACACACGTACACCCGAAGAAACGAGGAAGAAGAGGAGATATGTGTACAGAGAGGATAGAAGGGAGAGATAGAGAGAGAGAGGACAAAAGAAAGAGAAGGAGCGCAGCATCTTCTTTTTCATCCGGAGGCGGAATAAGTTGGCATACGCATGCGCCCGTACTTGCCGGCTCCCGCATCTCCCCGGCAGCTCAACCATCCGCACAGATAGTCCGAGAGAGTAGCGTTGCACACACGCACGAACACACGGCCGCTCGTAAACACACATGGTGTGTCTGGCTCTCGCGATCCAAGACGCGATCGGCACCGGCTATGCTCAGTCGTCCGCGACACCTTCGCCGCGCGCGATACTCCGTGCATACCGATCGCCAGCTCCGTCCTCTTCGACCCGAGCAACAAAACTCCCCCTTATAAACCCATAAATTTTTTTTTTTTGTTAATCACGTCTTTTCCTTATTTCTCCCCTTATCACTCTCCATTTTTACCAACAAAAGTCCCGGACTTTTTCCCGGTGCCGCGCGCCGATTTTCGCTCATCATTCCGTCCATCAGTGATTTTTGGTGCCGTCGACAGTGATTTGTCAAACAAGTGATTATACGTATAAAAGACCCCTGCCTCCGCTGATCGGTATACTCTTTTCCCCGTCACCGACAAACACTGTTATATACGGATACGAGCCAAAGCCGTGCGATCCCCCCGAAAAAGCCATGCGGCAGAACCGATCTCTCCATCCCAACCGGGTGTAAAAGAAGGAGGGGGGGGAGAAAAAAAAATCAGTTGCACCGAGTCAGCAACAATGTAAGCTCGAGCTCACGAGGATCGGCGACAGGTAAAAAAGCGACGAAAGCAAAAAAGGGGAAGAGAAAGAGGAAAAAAATCGGATGTCTCCGCGGGCCAAGCAGCGCTGACGCGCCGCGAGGATGTTCTCTCCCGGGTGGAGGCTGTTCCTCCTCCTGGTGTTGTTGTTGTTGTTGGTGGTGGGTGAGGCGCGCCGCCACGAGGAGCCAAGGCATCACCGGCACCGCCATCGCCACGAGCCCTCGGCGGAGTCGCGCTGGCACCGCTCGACGGCCCTCAGAAAGCGAGTCGAGCCCGAACCGCAGCCCCGGTCCCACGACGAGGACGACGCCAGTGACTTTGATAGCTACGAGTACGAGGAGTACACCGACGAGGAGGAGGAGGACAGGGGACGCCTGGGCAGACGGGCCGCACAGCGGTGGGGCAGGTACGAGCCGTCGAGGCACCGCTCGAGGTACCGCGTAGGGCAGTACAGCCGCGCGGGCTACCGATACCGTGGCGTCCCACGACACAGGCCACGGGTACAGGGCCACCCCGGGTGGTACTGGCCCAGCCAGCGCAGGTACAACAGCCAGAACCTCGTCGGTGGCGACGACGATGCTAGCGGTAGCGACGAGGACAGCTACCATCGGTACACCGGCAGACCGGCGCGCAAGAGACCGGCGGCTCACCCGGTAAACCGAAGACCGAATCGGCGCTACACGCCGGAAAGTGACGAGGAGGAGGAGGAGGAGGATGATGATGATTACACCTACGAGGAAGAGGACGAAGATACCATGGAGGAGGAGGAGGAGGAGGGCGACCGATCGAGGAGGCGGCTGAAGGGGCCGTCAAAGTGGGCCAGCAGCAAACTCGACGAGTGGACGAGGCTCACCAGGGTGGTGCCGGACCAGCTGAACGAGTCGCGCTCCTCGTACCACGAGCCCTCGGCCAAGAAGGGCAAGGACGGGTTTCCAGAGGAGGACGAGTACGATGACGAGGAGGAGGTGTGGAGGGACGTGGACGGGGAGGACGAGGGGGACAACTCGCTCAAGACCTTCGACGACATAATCCGCAGACTGACGGGGGAGCGCGAGCCGACGACGACGAGCGCGACGGTGGCCAGGCGTGGGTATCGCTCGAGCCCGGAGTCGGAGAGCTACCCGAAGCGCGACGTGTACGGGAACCTGAAGCTCTTCAAGACCAATGGCTCGCGGGTCGTCGGGGCTGTTAGGAGCGAGGAAGCGGGGAGCCTCGTTGGTGGCTCGAAGAGGAAAAAGAGCCTCGGGCTCGAGGATCGGGGTGATCCGGCCAAGTGGGGAGGAGCCGAGGAGGCGCAGCTCGACATCGAATCGGTGAGTCCTGCTTTAGATCGATTATTCGTGCTTTATTGGATGTTATCCGTGCAGCTATACGTAGTTTTGTTACGCGCTTCGCATCGTGCGGTTTTACGCGTCAGTAGTTACGGGTGGTTATTGGGTATTCGAGTACGTGCCAGAGGGGGGGAAAAAAAAGGCCTTGCACAGCGGTACTTGTGTTATTTTTAGCTATTCCTGCAAAGTGGCTCCGCGGTGAGATATCGGAGAGACGTATCGCAGGGAGGAGAGAGATCGAGGCTTGCTCTTGGAGTTTGCGAATTTTGGATTTTGGCAGCGATTTCGGGAAGGGTTTTGTTTTCTCGTCAAGCGACTCTTTCGCTTTTGGGATTTTTGCTCTGTCAATAAAATTGACGTGGCGTCGATGCTTTAAGAGAAAAATTTTGGTTTTATCAAAGAGTCGATTATTTATTCCTCTATTGATAATACTTAACATCATCAGGTAGATGGTCAAAGAATGTTGGACGCATTTTTTCAACTTTCAATTGGATGTGAATGACATCATAATTTACAAGTGTTGGCAACACACGTCTCAATGATACATATTGTTGGGGATCCCATTAGAATTTTTATATAATTTTTTCATTGACGATCCCCATTGATACCAATTATAGTATACTATGGGTGTATCATTGTTTTTCACTATCTTAGTCTTATCTGTACTTTTAAAGATCCTCAGAAGATAAAAATATTTATTTATGTTTAGTTGAAGCGTGAAATAGATATACTAGTGTACTATAACGGCTTTTATTGACTATGTTCGTGAACCACAGTTGTCATTTCGCTTTTTTTTAACTATATTTTTGTTGATATTTAAATACCTTTTATGTAAAGATCATATACAGACCCTTAGTGGAACGCTTGACACCTAAATGCAAAAAAATGGTCGGTAATTTTCTCAGTCCAGAATAGACTGCACGCTTGAGTATTTTACAACTAAATTATTGAGACATCTAAATGTTATTACCCTTTAGGTTTAAAAACATGGTAAGCACCTCGAGTGTTTATTACATTGGGATTTTATACCTTAAGCATGTGCTACGTTTGAAAAACTGAACACTTGAGGCATTTTATCTTGAAACTCATGATGGTACACTTTATACTTTTCAAATACTTTTTTCTTGGTCGACAACACAAGATTCGTCTGTAGAGCAGTCATGCCTTCAAAATTGTATGAAAATTCCATCAATCACTAGTGTCATCCGCCCTTACGATGTCCAACTGTGCACTTTTACTCAACATTTTCATGATTTAACTTACTTTTTCAAACTTCTGAAATTGGCTTTTCTTTGAAAGTTGAAACAACCAGCTCGATTCGAGTGCGATAATAAATCAGTTGCACTCGAACCACTGACCTCTCAGCCCGGAGCTAAGGGGAAACGTTATTCTGATTTATGTACGAGAGGGAAGATCCAAGTGCTCGCGAAAACCATATTTAAAAGTACGGAAATGAAAAAAAAAAAAAATCTTGGATCGAAAAAGGACGATGACTAAGAATATTTTTGCACCACTTGCATTTTTCCTTCCCATACACCTCTCATTCCAACACAATATTATATATGTTTGCAATACAATGCAGGCGATGATTACGCCTCTCTGGCAGTGTAGTGGGAACAGAGAGAGAGAGAACAGAAAGATTTACAAGGAATAACTGAATAAGCTTTAAAAACTCAGGCCCATATTTGTGTGCCGCGTGAGCGCACTTTTGCAAATGGATCGGAATCGTCATCCGGAGTAAGAGTCGAGAAATGTGACTACTCGCCATCTCTGGGGAAATTCATCCTTAAAGTGCAGGAACAGCACTTTTTCCCGTCCCATTACCCATAAGAGAGTCTTTCAAACATTCTTTTCTTGATTCTGTCTCAGTGCTCCCGTGCTCAATTGAGGGGTTGGATATGTCCCCAGGAATAAAAAGTTGCCGTTTGTAAAAACAAAAATTTTCGATTTCACATCTGTTTAGTTTACATATTACTTATGTAATTTTTCCGCGCGTGTGGCTTGAAAATTTGCCGATAAAAACCTCTCGCCCTCCACGGGAGAGAAAAGTAAATGGCCAAGCGTTGCCTGGAGCATCTAGTTTGTGTCCATCCCACGGGTCAACAGGGCTTGTTTACCACCAACAAATCGCAGGGTCCCTCGTTCATTTTGCCAAAGGGAAGGAAAACGGAGATCGATTAACCGAAATGACAATGACGAGGATACGAGTGAAGAGTGAAGGGCTACACTGGAGAGGGACAACGATTTTCTATTGTATACAGCATCTCAAACACACACCGAAGGGAACAGGAGGTTTTTGGCGCTCACCTGCACAACCCGATATATTATAATACTCGTGGGACGGAATAGAGGATAGCGCTGTTCTTCGAAAACTTGCAGATGCCGCAGGCCGTAATCACACCAACATCTCTGATCGGTACGGTCGTTTGTGCACAACTGCACTCGCGCGGAAAACCTATCGATCGGCGATCGTAAAGTCCGATAATCGTCTTGATTTTCCGTCCAGTTTTTGTTGACGCTCACGCCAGTTATTTACGTTTCTTCGCTTTCGTGGACTTTAATCACAATTTTTGCCTTTATCTCAACATCATGCAAAATAACTAATGCAACCTCAAACAGTTGTTCCATCTTTTTTGCTCTTGCAGCCGTCACATTGTCTTCTTCTCTTTGCGTTGTCTTGAATAAAATGTATATTTTAACTTTTGTATTCATCAAAAGCTGTGTAAAAAAACCAAAAAACTGCTTTTTAACATTTAATTCGGTAGTACTTCCAGAAATACAACAAAACACGTGTCAATTGTTTTTATTTTCTGATGAACAGTTACTCCGTCGTAACCCATACGTGTGTTATATCGAATCAATTTTAAGGTCACATTCAAAAGTACAATATCACGACGATACACGTGTGTCGTGGTCGATGAAACACAGAGAATCTAATGAAGAGAAGGACAAAAAGAACTTGGTTTATCAATTGATGGTTTCACAAAAATATCACTGCTTGGTATTGGTCATTCATGCCGCCGGTTACACTGCAGGATAAAAAAAAAAAAAAAAAAAAAAAAAAAAAAAAGAGAGATGTAGGTACACACCACCTTTTCCGCCGCACCGGACTACCGGTCTGTCATTTCGCCGTCCCTTCGTGTGTATACATATACTTGCAAGCGCGCGTCTTTACATTTTGCCGAGAGGAGGCTCATTCAGAAGCAAAAGGTCTGAGTGTAATTGAGCATGACTTATACGCTGAAACCAACTATAGTCAGCGAGGAAAGATCGAAAGAGGCGAACGAGATGGGAGATTTCCCCTCTCTCTCTCTCTCTCCTTCTTCGTAGCAAGGGCTTGTGTACCCGACGTTTATGCTCACTTGGACTTTATGTACTGGTGTAGGTGTACCTACTGCCAGATGCATATATGGACCTTTGGCTTTGTTTCACTTTTTTTTTTTTTTTTTTTATTTTTCCCTCTTACTATGTAAAGAAATACGCGGCGAATGTTGATTTTTTTGTATTTCTGACATCGTGTGTCGCGACTATCATGAGATTTATGGGTATGGTGGCCAAGCCTCGCGTCGAGCATCTTTTTTTTTCGTCGAATCGATGCTTCGTCGTGTATTTTCTTTCCTTTATCATTCAACATCGGGCTGAATTTTCATTATTGAAAAAAATACGGATCTTTCAATCACGTCTCTACACATACCCTGTAAAACCGTCAAAGTAACTCTTAGTATTACACTTGCCTTGTAACCAAATTTCAACTCTAAATATTGTATAGAACGCGAGTTTTTGAGTTTCGAAAAAATGACTCAAAATGGAAGTTTTCCCTATTTACAAAGAAATGGCAGAACCAATTTGAACCCAACGCGGCTCATTTTCTTTGTCTTAAAATTTGCACATCCTTTTTATCAAACACTTTTTTATGTGCGAATCTTCGATTTTCTTCTAGACGCAAAAAACATGTTTTGGCCATTTTTACCATTTTTTGGGGGCTCTTGCCGACATTTCCACTTCTTAAATTATGTGTCAATTATTTATAATCCATTGTAACTATTACACTATTTTTTTCAAGCTAGTCAGAATTTTCTGGGCTGAATAACAATTGCGTTCATAAAAGTTGACACTATAAACGTAACGCATGAGTATCTTGTGAATGTTTCATGTCTTTATAATCTATTATTACGATAAAAAAAATCACATCTTTCGAGTTATCTTAGTGTGTAACATAAAAAAACAGGAATGTACAAAATTGTTTAACAATCCAAGAAATATTGAATAAAGCGTGCGTTTATGAGTTCTGCAATAGTCTCGAAATGGTAAAAGATTGCAAATCAATTTTCATCCAAGCCCACTGGCTTTTCGATGGAATCAAAGCCCCAGAGATTTAAAGGAGCAATAAGTAGGTACCTACACGGTTTAAATTTTTGAAAAAATGCCACATTTTGTTTCCTAAAAATTCAGGAACTCACATAAATGTTACAGATATCTTTGGTGCTTGCAACGAACTAAAGAATCTCAAAACTCTCAAGAGACAAGAAAAAAATATTCTCGCTTTTGTTGCAAAAAAAAACCTCCCTGTACCAGTTACAGTTGACAACAAATTATTCTTTCTTCTCTCGCGCAACAAGTAAAAGCTCGCGAATGAACAAAACAAACGTGCACCCACGGTTCCGGCACACATGGAGCAAAACTCGATCCCCAAAGACAACGGTTCTGCGAACCAGAAAAACCACGAAAACGTTACTGTTTATCATTACGCAAGAGCTCCGTCAGGGGCAGTAGCCTCTCGTCCCTCCTCCTCGCAACGCGCGATACATCGCTGCACGCGAGCTTTCAGGAAGCTTCGGGCAGCACAACCACCCGATTGTGCGCACGACCAACAAGCTCCTTATTTTACTTATCGCCCCCACCCCCGCTCTCTTGAGATACGTCCGCGAGGAGGGAGCTTACGCTCATACATATATACATATTTACGAGCGTGCAATCTTTCG